TTAAAGGTGGGGTAGGTAATTCACTTCAGAAACACTTTTTGTTATATTCCATGGAATGTTCTTAACGTCCCGATAGCAATGAATATATTAAATGCTTTGACAATAAATACATAAAATGTTTTATCTCTGGAAGCCGTGGCGCTGTAAAAAGCACGACCAATCATCTGAGCCGGCTCGGCTAAAATAACTGCATGGCCTACCCGCCTGTCAGCCTTCCATCTGTGCACAAACTTATCTCGTGCCCTCATTGGTCATGTGCGCGTTCATGTGTGTTGGAGGAGGGGCTCTGTAAGGAAGTCTGAAGGAAGGGGCAGATTTTTTCCGGTTGTGTATTTTCAAATTCTAGCGCACTCGAGCTGGTTTCTCCATTCTTACCTAGCCTACCTTTAACACTTTTTAAGGTGCAGCAACATGTTTTATTTATTTCAAAGTGGGCCCATTTCAATTATATATTTTTTCCTTCAAATGTGCAGAGGACTCCCCAAGTGCTGTGTTTAATTTATTTTAAAGTAGGCCTGTGTATTATTTTTAATTCTCCTTATAGGAGTTCTTTGTTTCTTATTAGAGGTTAACAGTTTTATATAATGTAATAAATAGCCTAATAAATGCGAAAACAGGAGTTTTTGTCTGATATAACAAATAAATACAACTTTATAGTGAGAGAGTGTTAATCCTTCAGGGCATATTCATGGCAAAAAGGAGACATACTGTAGCCTAGTGGTGTGGCTGTGTTAAAGCATACATACTTAGAGTGTGTGTGACTTACCACTTGATTTTTTAGGTTATTTGTTTAAGATTCAAATGTATCAAGGAAATCATTTAGTTAAGAACATTTTACTGTTGCACATTTTTCAAATCACATCTGGATATTACTTTTTTATAAACAAATAAGCTTCTTTTTATTTTGTCAGCCCAAGAGTGAGCCACAAAGGAGAGAAACAAACAAATGGTTTTGCTTCATAAGACAACTATGAATATTGCTGATGCTAATGATGTTCCGGTGAGAGCGATCCTGTCCTGGGACGGCCTCATCCCATGCTAGTTTGCCATTGCAATTTATCAAATGTACTCTTTGCACTCTGCGAACGTTGCGTTGCGACCTTGGTCTTGCAGTTCATTTCCACAGCCAATCCCCACTTCCTGTTTTTTCATATCTGTGAAACGGTCTCCTGTTTTCATGTAGGATGTAGGTTTCAGTTTACCTCCCATTTGTGAGGAGATAACACCATGAGAAGAGAGAAAACGTATTCTGGCCTCCCTTGTTTCATCCCCCCATGATACCATGGGTGCGTCTCACTTCGGTTATTTTTCATTTCCTCGCTCCTCGGGCTCGGTATCACCGGAAGTTGATTTGTCTGCGCCATCTTGATTACCGTCCCAGTGGCCTTATTTGTGCCGGAGGATCGAGGAATGATAACGGAGGAGCGATAATGGAGGAACTACCAGACCATCCTCTGGTGAAATCCTCAGAGACTCGCCCCGCCACCTTACTGTGTATCGCTCACTGATTGGACGATGCAGCGCATGCACTGATCTGGCTGCTGTCAGACGATCAACTATGCGGCGTCATCACAAACAGACGTCGCTTCACGTGACGCTCCGGAGGAAAGGACATCCCATTGCTCTTAAAACTAATTTCCCTGCTTCTCGTGGTTTCCTTGCGTCTCTCCATGCTTCCCTGGTGGGGGGGACTAGTCGCAGGGAAACGACGCAAGTGAGGGACGCAAGGAATCCATTTAACCGAAGTGAGATGCAGCTTAGCTGTGTGCGTGCAGATACTTGAACTGCGTGTAATCATGGTCATATATCTTGATATCTCTGCCTTTTAAAGGTAAAAACTGCTTCATGCTGTTAATCTTGCATTGGATGATCGATTGGTAAACTATCAACAACAACCTTGTTTTAACTTAATTTGTCCTACATATCCCACAAGCAGACCCGTTTGTTATGTTTATTAAAGAAAATTCAGCAAGATGGAAATATTAGATGTCCACGTCACATTGTTTGTGATGCTGATAGTTCTCTGAGTACGACATGTCAATGGTCTCTCCATTCTACAGAAAATGTAGCAAAGCCAATTGTCCACAAGATAATAATAATAATAATAATAATAATAATAATAATAATGCATTACATTTTGTTTATTAGAGCGCTTTTACAGGTGCTCAAAGCGCTTTACAATTACACATTACACATATTAGACATGTAAGAGTCATTACTGTGGACATTACCCACAGGAGCAAATACGGGTAAAGCGTCTTGCCCAAGGACACAACGGCCTGACGCAGTGGCGGCCGATGGAGCACTTGATCAGAAGAAATGTAGATCCAGCTGATTCATTTATATACACTGACTAAAAAAGTATAAAGTGTGTTAAGTCACAGTAATAGATACTGCTTGACTAGAGGTCAGAAATGTAGTTAGAAGCATTTACCCAGACGATTACAATTAGGTAATTTCTGGACGTTTTTATTAATCTTATTGTTTTATTCAACTAATATAATATTAAAAACAGACATTTTTTACAGACAATGTACTGTACCAGGGAGGGTAGAAAGCAAATAGTCTCCAGCGAGTAATCAAATGTTATAGTTTCTGGTCAAAGACCCCAAACATTATGAGATAGTAACTTTAAACTTTATTTTAAAATATAAAATTAATATTAACTCATAAGGCTTGAATTTAACGAAGTCATTTACAGGGTTGAAATATATAATCTGTCATTATTCAGATATTATATTGAGGAGATTCTGGTTCAGTGTATGACATATTTCAACATCGATTATTGATAAACTGTATTACTCAATTGTTGTTCTATATAGCTTTTTACCCAAGGAGTTGGTTTGCCTAGCTGGGTTCTGACTGACTTTAATTTTGAAGTTCTTCTGGAAGGATTTTAACTATGATAATATTGTGCAAGTTTTCATATTGCAGATATGTATTTCGTGGAAGTATAACAAGCTGGTAAAAACGAGGTAAAAAGGATGTTAAGCTTGATGGAATCAAGTGTATGTGCAGCTCTCACCCTGCATGTCTGAGTCCAGGCTGCCCTGACTGGAGACCACACTCTGGACTCGGCTGGGCCGGAGTTTACCTCCGCCTGAGGAGAGAGCATTCAGAGTCACTACAAATACAGCAGCTGGAGAAGTGATTAACTGACTATAGATACAAGCAATGCATAAAAGTGAACAATTTAAATATGTTAGACAATTACAATTAGGAATTAATTTCTCCTCAGTAATAACTGTAGTCTGTCTGATGGACTCACTGTGAGAGGCTGACTGCATGGACTCAGCCAGGCTGACACTGGATGGCGTCTTCGGGGGGGAGGTGGGCTCGGTGCAGGGTTCAGTTTGGAGCTGTCCTCGGCCCGCCCCCATGCTGACTGAGCACTGAGAGACAGAATCCTCGCACTCACTGATTGGCTCACTGGATCCTGCAACTGTGTCACAGGCAGCGCCCACAGTGATGGACCTCCTGTCTTCACTCTGCAGGGGGACAGTTACAGTCAAAATAAGTCATTTCATGTAAACATGTTTCATCTACTGTGCATTCATCTTCACCAGAGGACATAAAAAAAAACGGGCATAGAAAAGAGCTAAGAAGCTATTTGTCATCCGTACGATGATATGCAGACATTCTCATTTATCCATATCACTGTGACATATCTGACCTCACTGGTTGCCGGAGCCTCTGCTTCAGTCTCCAGAATCACTTCCTCCACCTGTGGCCCCTCACTGCAGGGCTGGGGGGGGCCTGCGGTGCTCTCAGACAGCCGCTTGGTGGCGTGGATCCTCTGAGGGTGCAGCCTGCTCAGGGACATGTAGTAGAAACTGTCCTGCTCTCCGTTCAACACGTAGCCGGAGAAAGATATTCTGCGGAACTCCTGCAGAACACACCGTCTCAATACATCATACTAACGCGTAAATACTGAGGACTCATTTCCTGTCCCATAAAAAAAGGGACTAATTGAAAGCACTATATTTCTATTTAGAAATTAAAGGAGCAAATATGCAGGTTCAACTCATTGCCCAGTAAATTCTTTTTCATGCTGTTTTCAAAACTGTAGATGTTGTGCATTGTTCCCAACAGAAAGAAAGGAATTATTTGTATTCTATTTTTTTTTTTTTCTTAGGCACTGGAATTCTCCAATGTGAAATATCTGTGCAGGAAGAATATAAATAAACTAAATATCAAATGGAAAAACAGCAAAGTATGACCATTTGGAATTTACTTTTAAAGGTCCCATGTCATGGCCATTTCCACTGATAATAATTCCATTGTTGAGGTATACTAAAACAGAAAAACACTGCAATTTTCCAAACTCACATTGGTTTCGCGTACAGCATCTCTGTAAAGTATGAATATTCAGCAGTATTCACTTTCTCCACTAAACGGCTC